CGACATCATGACTCAACATTCACACACAATTATAAGCATGAAATATATATTATCCCATGCCCTCATACCATTCCATACACACACACATTCACGCACACGGACAACAAGCCGAGTGCAAACCGTAGGGTTGCACCAACATATTGTACGCATGCCATGCGACGCCATGATCTGGAATTGCACTGTTTGCAATTACGTACTATTATGGGCATCTTCGGCGTGCTCGATTGGACCGGGTTGTGGGGACGAGAGGCGCGAGCGTACTTGGCGCTGGTCGTGCATAGGCATCTTGCGCATGGTGCCTGACGCTGATAGAGCAGCGGTTAGGTGCTGGCTCGGGTTGAACGGTTGCCTTGGAACGCCGACGTAGATGATGCCGCCAGAGAGGCTGTAGTCTTCGTGCGACCATTGCGAATGGTGGCCTTGGGTCGACCTGGGGGTTCACCCAACGAACATTTCGGGCATGCCATACCCTTGGTCGACGTAGCCCCCTTGACTGTACCCTTGCATAGCCATGGCGGCCTGGAGCAAGAAAAGAGTGTGCGAAAGGGAACTATACTCGCGTGTGTAGGTTGCGCATTACTAAAACCAGCTTGGACAACAAATGGGTGGTTTCCGTGATGGTTACCCAACAAGCGACGTGAAAATCGGGGTTTGCGCGCCCAAAGCCAGTATGTACGGAACGCACAAGCGAAGTTGTGTAAAATCATGCCACGTATGATGCGCATGGATAACCTTATCCGCCAAAAGTGTGCCAGCATGGCGAACACTGTGAACCTATCTTCACACGTGGCACATCATGACCTGATCGGATACCATCGCGCGCCTATGAGGTGGGAAAGATGATGTATGAATGTTTGCGCTAAACAGGGAAGCGTGGGTGAGACTGGAGTCACGCGCGTGAGTGAGCCTGGCTTAGAGATGGGAGCGACAATGGGATAGACTCTTGGGTGTGGAACAGGGGTTCAAGAGTGAGATCGGAGTCTGATAGGGGTGATTAAGTTGGGTAAGGTGTAAGAGGTGGGCGGAGCTGAGGGATCGAGGGAAGGTGATGGAGGGGGGTTCCCAGAGATGAGAGGGACAGACTGATGCGAGGTTGAAAAGGACCACATCTGTCACTAACACCACACTCATGTGTTGTGCCCTTGTGAATGTTTACCACCACAGGTACACCGTGCTGCTGCCTTGCCAGCACAAGATGTGCGCACAGGAGAGGCATTGGCCAAGTACGCAAGTGCAACACCCTCGCACCACGGCTCCCTAGTGTTCTCATTTTTGGCAGATGGGTCTGAGGTGCATGGGGGAAGCTATGGCGAAGTAGTCTTGCTGATGCGTGCCCGCAATGTCAGGGACAAGCAAGGTGCAGACGTGGACGAGGTGGCTCACGTAAAGCCGTGGAAGGAACTCGGCGTGTACGAACTCACCAGTTGTGTGAATTTGGAGGCAATCGCGGATCCCGAGGCGTGTGTTATTGTTCCAGTAGCACACCTTAGACGTGTTGTGCACATCGTGAGGTCGTTTGACCGACGTAAAACCTGGTTGTTGAACAAGTGGGCCGACGGACTGCGACGTGGGGGTGTTTGAAAAGTGCCTCTGTTATATGGCCTGTCCACTGTTGCGTTGTTGATGAGGCACGTTTGCGGACATATCTTTGCTGAGGAATGTTGAAAACTATTTGGATACCACTCTTGATTTGAGAGATGTGGGTTTTTACACCTGCACGTGTATAGCGATCGTTTATACCCTTGTTATTGGGTAGACTCATTGGTAACTGGAACTGATGATACCCTCAAAAACCCGACAGACATAATATTTTCTGTTGGTAGAAGGTAGCCATTTCAGTGTTATCACAGCATGTACATATGTGTAATAATCATAAGATAATACAGCATATTCCTGTTAACTCAAAAAGGTTGACACATATAGAATATTTTGTATCGAGATTACCATTTTTCCGGTTTGGAATTCCCGTGCGTCGCAGCCTCGGGAGAAGCACGGTAGCGACAAAGTAGGCAACGCCATCGACTTTCCCGCCAAATTTGGGGTATCATCGTGAACTGGAAACCCTCCCGATTGGTCCGAAATTATGTTACGACTCTGGGCGATGTGGGTGGCGGTTGACGCTGACGTCGCCATTACCTAGAGGTAGCCTGAAGGGAACATAGGGGGAACATGTGGGTTACCTCGTGAGGGTGACCTAGGGGTTTCCCGCGATTTCATAGTGAATGTTGCGTTTCGAATTTTGGGAAGCGAACGAGACGGTGCGAACGTGTTCGCGCAGGTCGCATCGGCCGTCGCACACTGCCACGTGCGAGGCGTCCTCCACCACGATCTCAAGCCCGAAAACATCCTGCTCACGCGCGACGCCTCCGCACTGCTCTCCACGGCACAGCTGACCACGAAACTCAGGGATTTCGGCCTCGCGGTTCCCCTGCAATCAGGCGATCGCGCGGTCGGCGTCGCGGATCACCGTTCTACATGGCTCCCGAGGTCCTCCTCGGCGAATACGCATTAGAAGCCGACGTGTGTTCTCTGGGAGTGATCCTATACATCTTGCTCTGCGGCGCGCCGCCTTTGTGGGGCCCCCGGATAAAGACGTGTTTGTGGAGGTGCTTAAAGGAGTAGTCGATTTTAGTGGCAAGGAGTGGGCGGGAGTGTCGGAGGAGGCAAAGCGGCTCGTGCTGTGCCTGCTACAAAGGGACCCCCAGCGACGCCCCACTGCCGCGCAGATTCTCTCCCATGCCAGGATCCTCCGGCATTGCCACACCAGCGTGGCAGGTTCGGAGACAGGCTCGGTAGCAGGTTCGGAATACCGGTTGGCTCTGGGTGCAAGCTCGGATTTGAGGGCAGGCGTGGAGGCAGCTTCTGCAATGGTGGTGTGAGATCAGGTGTGGTGGTGTGAGATCAGATGAGGTGGTGAGAGAGCAGATGTGGTACGGAAACCTTATATATTGCCAGAATTCCTCACCTCACTTAGCCCGGCACACCCTAAAGCCTGCTTGCTAAGCATGCTAGTGTACAGCGTTGGTGACTTGCCTGGCTTGTTGAATTGCTTAGCTGCTGCTTCTGTAAAAAATCCTGCAGCTGCTAGTACTGGTTGTCAGAATCCCAACCACTAGACCATTATGATAAAAGGGCTTGTTTCAGTAGCGGGTCAGTGCGCCCATAACCCCCCAGGCTAACAGGCCTGTAACCCCCCAAGGATCAATCGGGGATCTCACAGTGCAAGTTTTCTGACACCCCCCCACACTGGGAGGTCCAGGACTTGGCACAGCGGCAACGGCCTGCATGTGCATACACCGGGATTCGAACCCGCGACCGCTCTGATACCATGTCAGAATCCCAACCACTAGACCATTGGGATAAAAGGGCTTGTTTCAGTAGCGGGTCAGTGCGCCCATAACCCCCCAGGCTAACAGGCCTGTAACCCCCCAAGGATCAATCGGGGATCTCACAGTGCAAGTCTTCTGACACTGGTATCATCTTCGCCTACAGTGAAGCATTTTGACCACCGTATATTGGTTATGCAAGTTCAGAGGCCTATCATACAAAACAACAGCACATGATCAGCGACACCACGCATGCACGGCCTAGCCAGACACTGAATAAAGATCACTGCTTTTCTCTAATGATTGAATCTGAACTTGACATTGCAAGCAACAAGACGCAGAGTATTACTAACAGAGTTTCACTCTGCTGCACTCATCAATACACAGAGTTCAAATGAAACTTACAGACAAGCACTGTGCGGAGATCAGTAAACATTTGTATAGTCTTGTGGTACTCTGCAACCAGCAATATACTAGTACGAAATTTAAGAGCGTATATTCATGAATACAGAGTAGGCCCTCAGATTGGTTTTGGGCTAGTCTGAAAATTCAGAGTTGGTACCGTATCGCCTCGGATATAAGCGCAGGCCTATTAAAAGCGCATGCGCTTATATCTGGAGCAATGCGCTTATATCTGGAGCAATGCGCTTATGGCCGATCCTCAATTATAAGCGCACCCCTGTAAAACCCTGTTTTATTATAAGCGCATGCATATTTTTTTATTTAGAATCTGCTAAACACAGTAGCGAGTTTCAATTTTGAAGCAAGCCCAATTTCTTTATCGCCTCGTTTGACTCGCGAAGACTTCAGAAGCTGCGCGTCAGGTGAAGATGTGCTGGAATAGGGGCAAAATGACGTGTCTTTGCCCCTGTGTGTTGGCAAAGAATCGGTTGCGCGCGATTCTAATTCCAAGAGCTATAAAATTTCGCCTCGATTGGAATGGTATGAGTGAGAAGTACATTTTGATACTATAAAATCATATATATGTATCTATCATTATATAAGCACATGCGCTTATAAAAATGACTCAATTAGAAGCGCACCCCCCTAAAAAACTATGTTTTATTATATGCGCAGGTGCGCTTCTATCCGGGGTGATACGGTACATGACTTAACTCTGAAAATCAGAGTTTTTCCTGCAGAAATATCACTGCACACTAGAAAAATTCGCATTTTTTCCTGTTTTTTTCTCAAAAAAAGGCTGAATTTTCAGAGTTCACTTCAAAAAAAGGCTGAAATATCAGAGTTTTTTAGGCAAATCAGAGAAATTTCTGTGACTTCTGGGGGCCTGATAGAGAGTTCAGTACCGTATTAACTGTGCGACGTGGGGGCTGGGCTACACCCAGCCCTACAATCATAGCTATGCAAGGTCCACAAAGCCCAGCACACTTGTACTGTGCCATTGCCATAAAGGAGCAGCGCTGCTCTCTCTACGTTTCTGACTCTGCCATGCCATTGCCACCACCATCTACCCAAGTAAGCCAGCTCAGCCGTTCCAGCCGCCTGTATCGACAAGACGGACCCGCGCTGCTCTGACTGGCCACCATGAGGGGCAGGGCAGGGCAGGGCAGGGCAGGGCAGGGCTCATCCCTGCAACCAAAGCTACGCGGGGTCCACATTGCGCAGCACCACAGGGGATTCAGCAGCAGGTTCCACATCTGCCTACCATCATCACTACCTAGGGTCCACATTCCGCAGCACCACAGAAGTCATCGAGCTGCCCAGCGCAGCCACTTGTATCGACGCCGGCACGTCCGCATAACTCTGGCTTGTCACCAGCGTGTTGTTCTCCGTGGCTGACGTGCGATAGGTCTCCACCACACACGCCCGCCCCGCGTCAAACGGCACGAAATCATCAAATTGAAACGTCGCCGGGTGGGTTGTGTCGCGCTGGTTGACGATGAAAATCGACACGAAGTGCTGGTCGGGATGGAAGAAGGCTGCAATGCAGTGCTGACACCCGCCCGACGGGTTGATTCAGAGAGGCAGGCTCCCTCTCGGCGCCCCCCTCACAAACTGCTGCAGCATGTACAGCTTATTGGAAATTACCAGATCCAACGGCCTGATTTCCGTGTCGTTCAGGCGATACATCCTGACCGCCAAAAGCCCCCATTTCAGGAACTTGTCTGGGTTGAGCCCCACCCCGTTCACTGCCTGCCAGAAGCTCCAAGTGGAAGCCCCCATGATGTTGATAGCCTGCACTATCTGTCGCGCTGTGAACAGCGACACACCGAGGTCATTCCCGCTCACCCACATCGGCCCCACCTCCGACAACCACACCTCCTTCCCCAGCCCGGTCGCCATGTGGTGCATGCTCACCATCCCCACTTCAATATGCCGCCTCGTATCCGTCGTGTTGGGCGGCGGCGGAATGTACGCGTGCACGTTGAACCGGAACAGACCGGCCTTAAGCGCAGCAGGGAACTTGTACGTATACTGGCGAGTCGCGAAAAGAAAACTGTCAAACCCTGCGACTCTCGTCGGGAGCTTGCGTTTCCTAAGGGAGGCCGTGAGAAGCTGGATAAGAGTGGTAAGTTCCTGCGGGTTGAAGTTGCACCCCTCGTTCCTGTGCCCCTACACCTACCACCCCTCCAGCGCCTCATTCGCCGGGTTCATGGTCGAGAAAGTCACGTTCCAATGCGTGCGGTAGTGCTCGATCACCGAAGCCTGGTACTCCGTGTACGCCTGAAAATACTCGGGCTTTAAGTTAGACTTGCCCTGTACACTCCCGGCGGTGTCCCCGCTGACCGTCATCCACCAGGGCGGCGAATACGAGATCGCCTCAACCTCGTCCACACTGCGCGCGAGGGCGGCGAGCATCGTCCGTCTCTGCCGCCCGTCCGCCGTCCAGTCGTACGGGCCGTTTGGCTGGACGCGAAAGCCGGGGATAGAGCAGGTTTCCCAGGCGGCAGTGAGGAACTGGGGGCTGTTGATGTAGTTGACACTGCCGCCTATGAGGTAGCGGGCGAGGTTGAGCCCGATGCCCTTGTCCTTGTCAAAGAGTAAATCCATCACGAGATTGAACTGATCGTCTGGGAGCTTGCCCACGTAGTTGGCAAACCTGGGAGGGATGGGGCAAGGGGCAAGGGGCAAGGGGCAGAGGCAGGGGGCATGAGGTACGGGGCAAGAGGCATGGGGCAGGGAGCATAAGAGCACCTAAGGGGCAAGAGGCATGGGGCAGGGAGCCTTAGAGCATCAGGTTGGTGATATGAGTAGAGTGGATGTCAACTCTGATATAGAGACTTTTATAGATGATAGTGAATTAAAAGCTTCCCCAACTTGTTGCCGCTTTTTACACCTGACTGACGAACGTGTGAGGCAAGCCGCAAGCGGCAGGGGGCATGGGATGTGGGTCATGGGATGTGTGGCGATGGGGAATGGGATGGAGCATGGAGCATGGGGCATGGAGGATGCGGCATGGAGCATGGGGCAGGGGACAGGGGGCATCGAGCATGGGGCGTGAAGCATGGGGCATGGAGCATGGGGCATGGAGCATGGGGCATGGAGCGCAGGGCAAAGGACATGGGGCAGGGGGCATGGGGCATGGGGCATGGGGGATGGGGCATGGGGCATGGGGCATGCGGCAGGGGGCATGGGGCATGGGGGCTGGGGCATGGGGGATGGGGCATGGGGGATGGAGCATGGGGCATGGGGCATGGGGTATGGGGCATGGGGCATGGGGCATGGGGCATGGGGCATGGGGGATGGGGCATGGAGCAGGGGGCATGGAGCATGGGGCATGGAGCATGGGGCATGGGGCATGGGCCACGGGGGATGGGGCATGGGGATGGGGGATGGGATGGAGCATGGGGGATGGGGGAGCATGGCGGATGTAGCATCAGCATAGGGCATGGAGCATGGGCAGGGGAGGTTGATGCATGCACGCGCACAGAGGGCCTGGATTGGAATGAGCATCCTAGTGTGCCATCTAAACAGGTGACCATGCCAGCTAAGCAGGTTACGATGCCAGCTAAGCAGGTTACCATGCCAGGTAGGTAGGCAACTCAACTCACCATGCCAGGTAGGCAGCTCACCATACCAGGTAAGCGACTCACTATGCCAGGTAAGCGACTCACCATGCCAGGCAAGCGACTCACCATGCCAGGCAAGCGACTCACCATCTATGTTGAAATTGACGCTCTGGAGGGGTTGAGTCAAGCGTTTTGATGCAAAACGCTTTACGCTGGTTTAATATTTTCCGGGCAGCCCGAAATCGTGCAGGAAAAAAAAATCGACCAGCAATTTCGCGACGAAATCGCGACTTCGAATGTCAACTCGACATTGAACACCCCTCACATTGTACCATAATGCAACTAGAAAATCCAACCAAACCAACTATGTTTATGAAAACCAGTCATGCCAATTTAGGTCATCACTCTTCCCTTCGCTAGCTCCCCACAAGAATAATGTTAGATCGTCTATTTCCTGTTCCTACGGTGTTAGTTCGCCGTTCCTCTCATATTACCCTTGAACTTTCTCCTCACCACTCCCCTCGTTCCCCCTCTTAGACTTTTTTTACTGCTGCCCAAAAGTTTTTTTTCCGCTGCCCGCTGGAGCGTCAAAACTGCGTCAAAAGAATAAGGATTGTGCGTCAAGCGTCCAGACGCTAGCGTCAAAGTCGCTTGACGCGTCAATTCCAACATATCTCACCATGCCAGCGAGGTGCCCCAGCCTCGCCACGTCTGGCCGTTCCAATCCGGGGCGATGGTGATGGTGGAAGGGTCTGCAAGGCGTGCAGGGAAAGAAAAGGAATGGAATAGAGGGGAGGTGAGGGAAGGGATAGAAAGAGGAGGAATCAAAGGGAATGAGGAGTGACGATGGTGAAACAGCCTTGCCACGTCTGTCCGTTCCAATCGGCAGGCCGGAGGCGATGGTGGTGGTAGAGAGTGGACGAAAGGGAATGAGAGAGAAATAAAAGGAAGGAAAAGGAGAGAAGAGGAAAGAGAAATGGAAAGAAAGAAAAGGGAAAAGAAATGGTTAAGGGGGTTAAACGGAAAGAGAGGCGACGTGGGCCAGCCTTGCCACGTCTGTTCGTCGCGATGTTGCTGCTGAAGGCCGGTGAGGAGATGAGAGGTGAGGCGAGGAGAGACGAGAGGATCATCTCATGCTGGATGACTGAGGATCATCTCATGCTGGATGACTGAGGATCATCTCATGCTGGATGACTGAGGATCATCTCATGCTGGATGACTGAGGATCATCTCATGCTGGATGACTGAGGACCAGGAGCAAAACGCGCGAACGCCCAGACGAGGATTCAAAAAGGACACGAGAAGACTCGAGGACTTAAGGCACCGAGAGGTTATGACTAAGGTGCACTTGTAACGAGCACAGCATTGGCAGCTACCTGATTTTAAATCGGCAGTTTCAATCAGCAGTTTCCCGCTCATCCCCCCAACGACTCGATAACGCCCTCTCAGATCTGCAAGCGCCTATGATTGCATCAGCAGGCCTCAGCCGCGCGACATTGCCAGGTTCCCCAGATGTTCCCCGCAGCACGTTCCCCCCCAAGTTCCCCCCAGTATCCCCGCTGCCCCCAGATCTCCCCCAGTTGCCCTCACTGCTCCCACCTTGTCCCAACTGCCCCCCATTTGCTCCCATTCCCTCCCCCCTCTTCGTCCCAAGCCCTGATCCAGTGGGAGTAGCTCCCCTCTTCCCAGGGTCCTCCTGCTCTTGAAGGACGTGAACACAGCTCTATATCGTGGACCTCCGATTCGACACACCCCATGATCTCATTGTCGCCAAGAATCGCCTTTTTAGTCTACGAAACAAGTATTGCTGATTCCACTCATAACTACTACAACTCTATATCGCGGATATTACCTCCGGATCGGCACACGCCAATGATCTCATTCTCGGGTGTCAGCCGCGCCTCGTTCCCCGCGGGAGGAGTGCTCCCCCCATCCCCCTCGTCTGGCCGCCCCCCACCGTCCGAAGAAGGGGGAGGCGCAGTCGCTTGCGCGATCTCTGCGCCCGCGGACGTTAAGCTTTGCGCGGCAGCTTGGCGGTACGCGGAGGAGGCGGCGGCGGAAGCCACGCGCGCGGAAGTTCTGCCTTGCGCCGTCGTCATGCGCGGCCGCCAGCACCCCTACGCCGACCACAGCAGCATCCACTCCGCGTCGCACTCGCCCGCGTCAGCGCCGCTGGGGGCGGCGGAAGCCGCCAGGGAGCGCCCGCGCGCGGCGGACTCCGGCGCCCCTCCATCATCCGCAGACTGCGGAAAAACTTCCGCCGCTTCTACGGGCCGCCCCGACTTCCGCCCGAACACGTGGCGTTGACGCGGCGACCGCACTGCTTCATGGGTGACATCGGAAAAATGTGGATCTGTGAAATCCAGTCGGGGGTTGTGTTTCGGCTGGATAGGGCTGGTTTCCCTAGTCATCAACGTCGATGAATGCTTGGGTTGAGCTGTCGGACGTTAGTAACTGTTCTGGGTTGGAATTCTCCGTAGCTGCTGACTCCGAGGTATACACGAGAGGGTCTGTGTACGACTGTTGTCGGTGTCAAACATTATATGTTCATATTGTGTAGGCTATAGTGGGTTTAGCCTTAGGGTACAGCTTTGTTAGGGTTTCCTACTTGTATCCCCCTCCTACCTAGTTTCATTCATTCTCGTTCTATTCTGGATTCTAACATGGTATCACGAGCCTAGGTTGCTACCTAGGACCGCTTTCTACTATGGGCCCACTATTCCGCTAGAAACGCCCTCGTGCGCCCTACCTTACGTGCGCCCTCGTGCGCCTTTCTCTGCTAGTGCGTCTTCGTGCGCCCTCGTGCGCCCTCGTGCGCCTTCGTGCGCCCTCGTGCGCCCTCGTGCGCCCTCGTGCGCCCTCGTGCGCCCTCGAGCGCCCTCGTGCGCCCTCGAGCCGCTCCTGCAGGTCCGTCAGGCCCCCGAGCCGCCTCTGCAGACCCGTCAGGCCCCCCCCGAGCCGCCTCTGCAGGCCCGTCAGGCCCGAGAGCCGCCCCTGCAGACTCGTCAGGCCCGCGCGCAGCATCTGCCCGACCGCGCGCCGCCCCTGCAGGCTCTCGCCGCCCGCCGCGTCGCCCTGCCCGCGGCGTCGCCGCCTGCCCGCGGCGTCATCACCTTCCCGCGACGTAGCCCCTGCCCGCGGCGTTGTCGCCTGCCCGCGGCGTCGTCGCCTGCCCGCGGCGTCGTCGCCTGCCCGCGACGTAGCCCCTGCCCGCGACGTCGTCGCCTGCCCGCGGCGTCGTCGCCTGCCCGCGGCGTCGTCGCCTGCCCGCGGCGTCGTCGCCTGCCCGTGGCGTCGTCACCTGCTCGCCGCGTCGCCCTGCCCGCGGCGTCGCCACCTGCTCGCGGCGTCGCCCTGCTCGCGCCGTCGTCACCTGCTCGCCGCGTCGCCCTGCCCGCCGCGTCGCCCTGCTCGCGGCGTCGTCACCTGCTCGCCGCGTCGCCCTGCCCGCGGCGTCGTCACCTTCCCGCCACGTCGCCCTGCCCGCGGCGTCGCCACCTGCCCGCCGCGTCGCCCTGCTCGCCGCGTCGCCCTGACCTAATCCGCGCCTGGCCTCTGGAGCAGCCGCCCCTGCAGCAGCCGCCCCTGGCCACTGGAGCAGCCGCCACTGCAGGAGCCGCCCCTCGCCCCTGGAGCAGCCGCCCCTGCAGCAGCCGCCCCTGGCCCCTGGAGCAACCACCGCTGCAGCAGCCGCCCCTGGCCCCTGGAGCAGCCGCCACTGCAGCAGCCGCCCCTGGCACCTGGAGCAGCTGCCGTCGCGGCCCGGCCTCGCCGTGCAGCAGCTGCCGCGGAGCTCCCTGCTGCGGCCCGGCCCCGCCCTGCAGTTGTAGCGGCCCCGCTGTCGCCACCGTCTTGCGCCTGCCGCGCTGACCACTGGTGAGCATTGCCCTGCCAGCACTGCTACCGCTGCTACTGCTGCTACTGCCTTTTCTACTCCCACTGCTACTGCTCCTGCTGTTACTGCTGTTACTCCCGCTACTGCTACTATTGCTGCTTCTGGCGTGGCCAGATGCAGCTCCAGGGCCGTGCGCGTGAGTCCCTCACGCCCCAGCAGCTTCGTGAGTGGTACGCTAGTTGGGGCTGTCGGGGTGGCCGTAGTGGTAGTCGCTCTGGAGTGGGTCGGTCGGGAGCTTCTGGTAGTGGACAGGTGCAGCTGCCGTGTCCTCTTTCGCCCCAGCAGCTTCGTGCGTGGTACGCTAGTTGGGGCTGTCGGGGTGGCCGTAGTGGTAGTCGCTCTGGAGTGGGTCGGTCGGGAGCTTCTGGTAGTGGACAGGTGCAGCTGCCGTGTCCTCTTTCGCCCCAGCAGCTTCGTGAGTGGTACGCCAGTTGGGGCTGTCGGGGTGGCCGTAGTGGTAGTCGCTCTGGAGTGCGTCGTTCGGGAGCTTCTGGTAGTGGACAGGTGCAGCTGCCGTGTCCTGTGAGTGAGGCTGCCGCTCTAGGTGCTAGTGCGTCTGTTGCCCTAGGTGCTGGTGAGGCTACCACTCCCGGTACTCGCGTGTCTGCTACCCCAGGTGCTGGTGAGGCTGCTGCTCTAGGTGCTAGTGAGTCTGCGCCCCCTGGTACAGAGTCGACTGAGGCACTGCACACCTTCACTCTGGACTCAGGTGCTTCTCGCTGTTTCTTTCGTGACCGCACTGCCCTTGAGCCGCTTGCTCGGCCAGTTGCTGTCTCCCTCGCTGACCCCTCTGGGGGTCCGGTCATTGCGACCTCCTCCACTGTCCTTCCTTGTCCTGCGGTCCCGTCGGGCACACTGTCAGGTCTCCACCTCCCCTCGTTCTCTACGAACTTGGTGGCGGGTTGTGCGCTCCAGGACGGGGGTGTTCACCAGTTCACCCCTGCCTACGAGCGCGTGACACACTGCACGTGTGCTCGGACGGGCCGTCACCTGAATACCTTCACTCGGCAGCCGGGGTCGGACCTGTACACACTGACCACTGAGTCCCCTCAGGTAGCTGCGTCTGCGTCTGCGTCAGGTCAGCTGTCGGCCCCCTGCTCGTGTCGCTCTCTGGCGCACGAGACCGTCCTCTGGCACCACCGACTTGGTCACCCATCCGTGCAGCGCCTTCGTGCCATGCACAAACGGTACCTTGTCTCTGGTCTTCCCAGGGTTCTCCCTCCCCTCCCACCCTCGCCTGCTCCTCCTTGTCTTCCCTGTGTCGAGGGGCGGCAGCGCGCCGCTCCTCACTCCTCCTCGTTTCCCCCGACGACTGCTCCCTTGCAGACGCTCCACATGGACGTGTGGGGCCCAGCCCGCGTCCGTGGTCAGGGTCAGGAGAGGTACTTCCTGATAGTTGTTGACGACTACTCGCGCTACACCACGGTCTTCCCCTTGCGCACCAAGGGTGAGGTCCCTGATGTTTTGATCCCTTGGATCAGCGCTTCTCGTCTCCAGCTCAGCGAGCGTTTCCACTCGGACTTTCCTGTCCTGTGCTTGCACTCTGACAGAGGTGGTGAGTTCTCCTCCGACCTCTTGGCAGCCTACTGTGCGGAGCACGGCATCCGCCAGTCGTTCACGCTTCCGGCCTCTCCACAGCAGAATGGGGTTGCTGAGCGCCGCATTGGCTTGGTCATGGAGGTCGCTCGTACCTCCTTGATCCATGCGGCTGCCCCCCACTTTCTGTGGCCGTTTGCAGTCCGATACGCTGCGCATCAGCTCAACCTCTGGCCCCGTGTCTCCGTTCCAGAGACTTCGCCGACACTGCGTTGGACAGGAGAGGTTGGCGATGCGTCACGCTTTCGGGTCTGGGGATCTCGAGCCTTTGTTCGCGATACGTCCGCGGACAAGCTCTCCTCCCGCGCTGTTCCTTGTGTCTTCCTTGGCTTTGTCCCGGACGCGTCTGGTTGGCAGTTTTACCACCCCACCTCGCGCCGTGTCCTGCCTTCTCAGGACGTCACTTTCGACGAGTCCGTCCCCTACTACCGCCTCTTCCCCTACCGCACTGCCCCGCTTCCCCCCCCGCCTCTCTTCCTCGCGCTAGGTGCTGCTGTGGTAGACCCCCTCCCCCCTCAGGGTGCCGCTATGTCGCTCCTGGCTACTGTTGTCACTGACCCTTCCTTTGAGTCCACTGCTGCGTCTGCCTTAGTTGCCGAGCTTGTCGACTTTGCTGCCACTTGTCGTCTAGACTACGCCGCTAGCCTAGTTGCTGAGTCTGAGTCTGTCTGTCCTCCGTCCGTCGGGGGTGAGTGTGCTCTTGGCATGGACGTCCTTGAGGACAGGCAGGAGGAGTTTGAGTGCTTTGCCACTGCTTTACCTCATCTCGTGTCCATGCTAGTTGCCCCTGAGGGAGACCCGGATGCACCAGACATCCCGACTCCGCGCTCTTACGCAGAGGCGATAGAGGGTCCCTACTCCTCTCAGTGGCAGACAGCCATGGACGCAGAGATGGCTTCCTGGAAGTCCACAGGCACCTACGTCGACGAGGTTCCCCCACCTGGGGCGAACATCGTCAGTGGCATGTGGATTTTCAGGGTGAAGCGGCCGCCGGGTTCTCCGCCTGTCTTCAAGGCGCGTTACGTTGCATGAGGCTTCAGTCAGCGAGAGGGAGTTGACTTCTTCCAGCGGGTTCTGCTGCACGTCGCCGCTCAGCGTGACTACGAGCTCCACTCTCTTGACTTCAGCACTGCTTTCCTACAGGGCAGCCTGCACGAGGAGATCTGGCTGCGCCGCCCACCTGGCTTCACTGGGTCGTTCCCTCCTGGTACCCAGTGGAGCCTCCGGCGGCCGGTCTACGGTCTCCGACAGGCGCCACGTGAGTGGCACGACACACTGAGGACTACACTTGCGGCTCTTGGGTTCGCTCCTTCTACTGCTGACCCGTCGCTGTTTCTACGCACCGACACCTCGCTGCCGCCGTTCTACATCCTCGTGTACGTCGACGACTTGGTCTTTGCCACTGCAGACACTGCGGCACTCGCCCACGTGAAGTCGGAGCTGCAGAAGAGACACACGTGCACAGACCTGGGTGAACTGACAAGCTATCTTGGCTTGCGGATCACCCGGGACAGAGCACGGCGCACCATCACCTTGACTCAGTCACACATGGTGCAGCAGGTCCTTCAGCGCTTCCGCTTCACGTACTCCTCGCCTCAGCCCACTCCT